TGCTGTCTGTATATCCCACATGTGAAGGGTGATTCAGGAAAGTTCAAACATATAGGGAATCGTTATAGCATTAACTAAACAAAACAAACTCCGTGGCTTGAGTCCGCAAGCGAACTATGCCGACCGAGCGACCGCCGCTTATCGGCGAAAATAGTGCCAACTTTAGTGGATAGAGGGTGTTGCGTGGTCAGCGCAAGGAATCCCCACGGAAGTTAATTTCGCTTTTCTAGACCGGAGCCGCTATTTCCTTGAAATAGCTCCTCAATTATCCTCACGAGGCTGAGTGGACCCCGTTCAAGACCCACTACTTCTCATAATCGGGAATCGAACCCGGACCTCTGGATCTGTAGCCAGGAACTCTGACCACTAGACCACAGAGGCGGTCTGTTATAGCATTAACTGTACAACCGAAATCAAATAAATTAATAAGTAAGAAATGAAAAGTAATAAAATTGCTTAGTTCTATAACTCCACTTCTACCAAAAGATAAAAGTAAATTATAATGGCAAAAATTTTGAAGATGTAGTCATTTCAGACGCTTGATTCATTACAATGTCCTTCCGACAGAGGACGAGGAAGAATGTGCAACCCGGGAAGGATCTAACAGAATAGCTAGGTACTAATCAGTAAGCTTTAACTGTCTGGTTTTTATAGACGCATAGGATCTACTATTACCCAGTTATTTTTGTACCGAGAATTGCCAAGTTGGGTTGGATTAATGGTCGCATATATCATCACCATGACATTTAAACCGCATTTTATCAAACCTGATCGTAGGTGCACCATTTCATGCGGGAAAGGATTTAGAGAGCGTTCAATCAACACCAAAATCAGCTCTCCAACAGCAACGTTTCCAAAACGGAGCGACAGGTCAGTGCCGTATAAATGTGAAGGTAGACCTCCCCTGTGGCACACGAATCGCAAAACTGGAGGTAAATACAGGCTCATATCCATTCGTTCTGAGTACATAGCTCTTAATATTCGTGTCAGTCATCTGTTTGAACATGTCAAGAATCATAAAGTTTCTGATTTGTCACTATTCCAAATTTCATATGCCCCACTATAATTGAATGTCAGTTATCATCCTCAAGTGCCCGTGTACGTGTATAAACACGTAAATCATACGATCTCCTTAATATTAATTTTTAGGCTTATCAACTATTGCCACGCCTCAGAATTTGGTACAGTCCCTACCCGTTTCAGCGTGAATGTAAAACCAAATTATCGGCATCCTTCAGTGGCACTAAGACAGTGTCAGTTTTCATTAACCTTCGTATCTTGGTTTTGTGGAAGTGGATGGTAGCCGATCACAATGGCCGCGCCTTCTAAGGCATGAACTCTTCGCTCGCTCAAACACTGGGATCGTGGATTCGAATCGCATTCGAGGCATGGATGTCTGTTCGCGTTCAGTCTGTGCTTGTGTTGTTCTGTGTGCAGATCTCAGCCCTGCGACAGGCTGATTCCACCTTCCAGAGTCTTGCCGAGTGCGTAAAAGATCAAGAAAAGTGGTCAAGGCCAAACAAAGGGCTTTAGAGCCATACATGGAATGGGATGCTTATGAATGTCAGATTAGGAGATGCTGAAAGAAGCTATATTTAGCTATTTTAGGATAATCTTTCGCCATCCTTCTGGAGAAACTGAAAGGCTGTGTAAAACTATGGAAATAAGTCTCATACCAGGATATCGAATCTACTGATCAAGGTTTTAAGTAGATACCAACCTACTGGTACCTCTATTCTGTTAGCGTCACTTTCTGTTCTTTTTACCCATCACTCTTTCTATTTGTTCTCTCGTGTTCTTCCTTTCTTATTCGAGTTTAAGATGTGAAACGTAAGGAAAGTTGCTTTAAATGTCGCCTTTGAAGGAGTTTCAGAATCGAAATTCTGTACGATACAAAATTCCAATACCTAGCCGAGGATGGAAGAAGACCCCCTGTCAACTTCAGACGGAAAATTTAAGACACTTTCATAATATGGCTGATTTATGTGTCTGTGTACAGGTAGAGGCCTTGTGACGAGCTGATCACCCGCCCAAGGAGTCCTACCGAATGTCTAAGGTCTAGTAAACCGAAGTGAAACGGAGAGTTTCAGGGAGGTAGGCCAAGGCCCAAATTGGGGCTGTATCTCCAAAGAAAAAAAATTATAACTTTAGAAATCACACTGAAATTGCACAAAAATCATTGCCTTCCCGTGAAATGCAATATATACATAACTATGGACTGTGAGCGAGAGCTTCGCTTGTAAAAACAGTCACGTTGGTGTTAAGGCTTTATATTGCGCTCATGATGTGAAAGGGGTGAGGCTTAATTATATGAACTTTTGGGTAACAAGTAAAACGATTGAATTTATGAAATATTCTGTTAAAAACGAATTCACATATACTATAAATGAATCGTTTCAAATCAGTTCTGCATCAAATTAGCCTGCAATGTTCGGCAATGTCAAAATTGTATTGGTCCAATGACATTTGGTCGTTGATGACTCGAATAAAAAGTCTCAGTTGTGTTGTAAGAAATTGGATAATTTTTTAGACTATAGAAGGTTCCAAGTTCATTACCCGACTTAAAGAAAAAAAATCCGATGCATTCTGATGCTAAAATTCGATAGAATTATGTTTTTATTCATATACGTTCCAGTTCTCTTTTTCATATCATCAAGTGTTGTTCAAAATGATGTTAAACTCTTTATGAAAAATAAAATAAGTTTATAGTTCAACCAGAAAGGTTAGAGATGATTCACAGAAATCTTGAAGAAAATGCAGTAGTTACAGAATTTCAGATGAAGATGACTAAAACAGCAGCTTTCTGTGCTGAAGCGCAGCTCATCATAGGATTTTAGTATTCCACCATCATCGGTTTAAGTAAAGTGCAGAATTAATTGCAGTACTGATTACTAGCCTCTTTTGTAATGAACGCTTCATACCTACCTTCCTAGTTATAACGCTTCATCGATCCATGCGAAACTGTTTCCTCTGTCGCCCTGTTCAGAGCTAGAATCATAATTGCATTTACAGTACAGTAGAGGTCAGGTGAAATGTTCGCGAAGTGCGAATAATAAATTTCTCTGTCCTGAACATGAATATACCGTGAAATTTATTGGAGAATATTTTTTATCTCTTCTGTGGTTTAGGGATATAAATTTATCCGTTTGCCTCCGCACGCGGGTAGGCCACAAAATTGTTTTGCAGTTTTGTTGGACGGTCGAAGTTACTTTTTGTAGAAGGGGAACGGAAGCAGGTAGCTGACCTGTCATCTGGAAAGAGAATCTTGATTGCTGAATCCGATGGGACGTATTAACTCTGTTTGTAGCTTTATGCTTCAATTATACAATAACTTGTATGTCTAGACATAATATGAACATTTTGCTGTGTTCCTACGGGGTTTCCTGTATTAATTTCAACATGACACAACATGTACACTGCAATTTATGTGCAGGGAAGCAAGGTGGAACGGGCATCTCGCATATTTGATCCGGGGCTGTATTCTGTACAGACTTGAAGCAGTACAGTTTTCTCCATAAGTCGCATGTGCTGTAAAAGTATACCCACAACACACTATGCAGTCTTACTGAGTGCGGGCCATGTCCATGCGTTGTGATAAACGAAGCAGGATCAGACCTAAGGCAGAATTTCCAGTTGCGGCGCTGTTTTCAAATGCGCAGTGCAGGTTTCGGCCCAAGTTATGCCAGTTAAATCTAGATTAATTTTGCTGGTCTCTTCTTATAATACAAAATATCACAAAAACAGAACTACATTAAATTATTACTTTAGTACTTAGTACACGGCGTCATAACCACCTCTGTGAGAATCTAAAATCTTGCTTTCAGCAGCATGTCATGTGGCTTAACCTTGTGATATGTAATCTAAATGAGGTTTGCAGTATCATCTTGTTCGGGTGCATGTATCTCCCTGTAAACAATATCTGTGTAGAGAAAGATTCTCATTTCATTCTTCCGCCTTTCTGTCATCCTTTGTTTCGAAGATTACAAACACTGAGAAGGCTTATAATTTTGAAATTTTTAGCGGAGACTTCATATAGTAGAAATTACATTTGAAAATTATCGAGCAAAGTTATATAATTATTAATTTACAACTTCGCCTATTTTCTATATACAGCTCTTCATCGGCACCATGAGAATACTATATCTCTGTTTTCTTTACAAGTCCCAGTGCATGAACTCAGCTATATCGAGCTTGAAGAATGCCATCTTCTTGAATGTGAAGCCGTGTAGATATTGTGTTAACCGACGTTTCGGAGGTACGTATCGCCTCCATCTTCGAGGTATAAGAAATCCGCGAGCAATGAACCAGCGTGAGCAGGTGGCTGCAGTCTGCAGGGAATGCGAGATTTGTCTCTGGTTTTTTCATAAAGATGTGATCAGAGTGCGCGGATCTTCCGTGGCACCCTCTATCCACGAAAGTTGGCACTAAATTCGCCGAGAAGCAGCGGTCGCTCGGTCGGTATAGTTCGCTTGCGGACTACGGGCCACGTAGTTTTATATTTCACCAAAACCTATGTAATAATTTCGTACTTTTCTCTACCGAATTCATCTTAAATCTCACAATTCCTGAGCTTTTCATTCCGGAATACCTGACGCAGATATTAAATTTCAATATTTCAGAGGTATCTGCCAATCGTATTTTGTCATTGGTAGAACTGTAATAAAGAAACGTTATAGTCACGACACATAGAAGCTTTTTTTTTTTGCTTGTGGGATGGGACTAAGTCCCTTGTACTGCGGCCACTCCTGGCCTATTGTACCAGCCCCAGATGATAGGTGAGGGTGATTGTGGAACAATTGGTGGAATGAAGATTGGCAGGGGAAACCGAAGTACTCTGAGAAAACGTACCCCAGCGCCACTTTGTCCACCACAAATCCCACTTGACCAGACCCGGGATCGAACCCGGGCCGCCGCGGTGGGAAGCCAGCAACTAAACCTCTTGAGCTATGGCGCGGCCTGTTGTGCTTGAGTTAGTGACTCGAATGTGGGGCGTGTTACAGAACTCAACCTGGCACTGAACCGCAACTCCTTGGTGTCAGCGACCCTGTGGAACTACCGTGCCGCCCTGGCAGTGGACGGTAACCCCGACACATGCAGCTTTACACCTCGGACAGCAGAGCAGCGCTGGTGGCAGGTCGACTTGGGCACTGATCATCACGTAGGATCAGTGGCACTCATCATCAACAAAGGTAAGTCATGATCTCTATGATTTTGAGTATGTTTCGGGAATTGCAGTAATTCATCCAACCGATCACAGTGGCCGCGCAGTCTAAAGTATGAACCGTCTTCGCTCGCTCGAACGTTGGTATCGTGTCTTCGAATCCCGCTCAAGACATTGTTGTCTGTTTGCGTTTATTCTATGTTTGTGTTGTTCTGTGTGTAGGTAGCGGCCTTGCGACGGGCTGATCCCCTATCCAAGGAGTTATATTGACTGTGTATAGGGTTAAGAAACTGAAAAAAGCGGCCAAGGTCCGAAAGGCTGTAGAGCCATAGAGAGGGAAAACATTAATTTATCCAAAGGAAGTGTTTGTTGATTTATTCAACAACACTCTCTACACTCTACACTACACAGGGCTACGTTATATTTAATGAGAGGTTGATTGTGAGTGATGAATCGGCACGGATGTGGAAGGAAACAGTTGTGGCCTATTGTAAAATGCGGTTACACAATTTGCTTAAGTGGTGAATCTTATTGGCAGATTTATGAATGTTCAACTTACTGACTTTGATACTAGGACGCGGAATTACGTCACTGCTATACCAAAGCCCGGTATTTGACACGCCAATTCATCCATTCTCGTCCTCTCATCCTACTTCCTTAAGGACCATCGTAATCCTCTAAAGCCCAGTGGTTCTATATGCACCACCTGCTTAACGCACTCACACTGCATTCTGTCCACAGAATATATTTGTGTGTTCCCCATGGCTCACACAATAAACAGCGATTGTTTCCCTAAACAACATTAACTGGTTAGCTTTTGTAGCGGAGCCGGTCACGGTAGCCTAGCGGTCTAAGGCATGCACTGTCTTCGCTCGCTTGGAAGCCGGGATCTTGTATTCGAATTCCACTCAGGGCATGGATGTTCGGTGTGTGTGTGTGCGCGCGCGCGGGTTTATTCTGTGTTTGTGCTGTCCTGTGTTTAGTTAGCGGCCATGCGACGGACTGATCGCTCGTCCAAGGAGTCCTACCGTGTGTGAAGAATTATGACGGAACGGAATAAGAGGCCTGGACCCTGAATGGGCTGGAAGATTCATCGAGAAAAATATACTATTTAGTGGAAATTCAACTTTAAAGGGTTAAATATTATCTTTCCATCTACTTTTTCAGTCTTTCGAATAGCCACTTTCTTAAAGGTTCCTTCATAGATTCCACCATATGTTTAATGATTTCGCCGTCCGTTCCATATGTGACATGACTAGTGAACATAAAGAAGACTTTGTCTATGTTGTAATAGCAGTAACTTATAGAGTGTGCAAATTTTTGAGGCTGTTATAATTATCTGTAGCTACGAGTAATAAGCGTTCAGTAAATTCAATTCTGGATCCAAACCACGCGTCTGGCCACTACCATGTGGCAGTATATTTAACGATTTCGCCGTCCGTCCCATATGTCTCGTGTATCACAACCTGAGTGACTTTTACCAACCAAAAACCCGTTCATTCTGTAATATCCAAAGTTTGTACCTTATATCATGATCATACGTACAGATATTTCCCGCGTATCAATGCTTTCAGACTCTTGGTATATAAGTTCTGCTCTCTAAGTTGATTCCCTTTCCCTTCATCTCCAGAACGCACTACTTCTAGTTCAGGCCATTGTCTGTTTTCCGCTGCATCATATCTCGATGCGATTAGCCATGATCTGGAGGGATGATGTTCCGAACATCAGATGCACTGGCTCTCCCTTTGTCACCACACCCAACCCTGTTGAGGGACACTGCAGGGTCCTTCTAGCTGATGCCCGGAGCGGGTTCTTTGTCGGAGGTATTCTTCTTTGGCGGGAAGCTAGGCATTCGTCTCACTCCAAAGTATGGAGTAGGTGGAGCTTTATTCTCACTTCCCTACACATCTTTATGTTGCAGTTCTTAGGTGCGGGGCCAACTTTTCTTTATCTTGTCGCACCATAACACAAGCCAAAGGTGCTGGAACCCAGTAAAATTCCCTGGTTGCATAATTAACAATGTAATAAAGTAAAATTGTTCCTGTGCTTAACTAATTAAGCAGTACGTCGTGAGGACATATCGGGGGAGTCGATGTGTAAGATCCGTTGTAAAAGTGTAATATTTTGGGCCGCGCCATAGCTCAAGCGGTTAGTCGCCGGCTTCCCACCGCGGCGGCCCGGGTTCGATCCCGTGTCTGGTCAAGTGGGATTTGTGGTGGACAAAGTGGCACTGGGGCAGGTTTTCTCCGAGTACTTCGGTTTCCCCTGTCAATCTTCATTCCACCAATTGCTCCACAATCACCCTCACCTATCATCTGGGGCTGGTACAATAGGCCAGAAGTGGCCGCAGTACAAGGGACTTAATCCCACCCCACTAACAATAAAGAAAACAGTGTAATATGCCTTTATACGTATAAGGATGCACCTTAAAAATAGAAACGTAACAAAGGAGACAAAAATAGTAGATACACATGCATATATGCATACATACATACATATGTGGGAGAAGGAGAATATTGCGACATGATGGGCTGAAACAAGACTAATGGTGCCAGAAGGGACGATCGTTGCTAAGGAACGACCGATAAACGCGTTTCTGCGGCAGCAAACCCGTGACGTAACGAAGAGGATCGATTGGAAACTATGTTTTCTGTTAGGTCCGCCACAGGGCTATATTGCGAGAGCTGCAGTGAGCGAAAATGCGAGAATGTGCGTTGCAGATGTTCGCAACATTGGACAAGGCGAACCCCGACACAAGAAGCAAAAGAGGCTTAAACTTGGCGGCGGTCGCGTCGGTCAAGCATACGACCGTTCAAGTGACTAGCCTGTTGTTGCAGCAGGAGCTACTAATGATAGGGCACTGATCTGCTGTACTGAGCCTAGACTGATAGAGGCCTTCTTTATGTTGTATGTACACATATTTAATAACATGTAAAATGTAAATTGTATATACTGACATCAGACTTATTACTGCCCCACATCAACAAACCTGCAACGGTCATACAGTAATAAATATCAGGTCTTAAACCCCAGATGGGTGCGTTATTCCAAGACAGATTTGCCGACTGACCGTCGGTCGTAACATAACTTTTACTTTGCCTCTGAGAATGTGTGTTAGGTCCACGGGTTAAGACGTGAGCAGACGAGGACACTGTTGGGATCCGTTACCAGGCAATCACTAGTGAAGATAATCTGAAAAGACTTAATATATGCTGTAGCAAACTGTGACGTTTGAGAATTAGAAATATGCTAGGTTCACTAGTAGTGAAGAGTTGTAAGATTTCAATAAATCCAATTACCAATCCTAACCCCTTGTCTAGTCACTAAATACGTGACAGTATAAAGAAAATCTATTATTAGAACACGAAGTGCACAAGGCTGCTATCGCTTGCCTGTTCGCAAACTCTTACGATCCAATTGGTCACTACTTCCTTGACGTAGATGACAAAGAACACGACAAGGAGGAGGAAAAAGACGCAAACTCAAAGAAATCATTCGGGATTCCTGAACTTTTTGACTTTGTTCGTCTCCTGGAATTCTAAAGAACACAAGAGAACTCACTCGGAAACTGAACCTGTTCCCGTCCTCAGGTGAGGGAGTGGGAGACATTAACGTGTTGGGCCCGTTAGAAAGAACTAACCTCAGTCACCGAAAGAAATTTTACTCATCGTCCTCAACTGTGCAAGGTTAATCTTATTTGCTGTTCCTAAAACACAAAGTTTCATTACACTTGATTTGTCCTCTCGTATATCGCCTGGAATTTCTTTACTCCAGTGATCTGTATGCAAGTACCTGCTTTGGCAACATACTTTCCTTCATTATTTACATATGTTGCATGTAATTGTTTCCATAGTCGGCAGGTTATCTAATAATATTTTAAACATTTACATTTTGTGATCTCTATATTGCGTTAGTGATCCAGTGTTCTTATTCCCAGCAAATGTCATATAAACGTCATTGTACTTGTCCCAGTCTTTCTCTAGGGCTCAGCAACATAGTCGTCTCACACTTTCCTTTTCTGTGACTTTAGGAGTGCATACGGTCTAGAAACCCGAAATTAACAGCCGTGGGGATTCGTTGCGCTGACCACGCTACAGCCTCTATCCGCTAAAGTTGGCACTAACTTCGCCGACAAGCGGCGGTCGCTCGGTCGCTATAGTTCGCTTGCAGACTACACACCACTGAGTTTTTTAAGGTGTACATATTCTTGCTTATTTTCTAATAACATTCTCATAAATGCAGTTCATAAAATAAAGCAAATTAAAATAAATTGTAAATGAAGTTATTGGTCTCTATTTTACTTCAGGAAACCATGTTTTCTAAGTATTTACTCAGGTATTCTTAATTATTTGCCTCCAAGGTTCAGTTAGACACAAAAACAATTGAGTTCTGTTATTATTAGTTTGTTCTTGTCTTCCCGTCTCTAATATTTCTGCATAAATTTGGCAACTCATGTACAGATATTTATAGCGTGTTAAGGTCCACAGCAGGTCGCTTTGTGTGTTGTGTAATAAATTTATCGGATGTCATCCATCAAACTTGCGATGAAAACATAGACACTTTGCAAAGATGTCCTTCTCGGAACGGATCCGCGACAAGAAAGAAAGTTAACTTTGCTGAGACATCAGTATACGTGTATGTTACGAGGCCGCAGGCTCAGCTGGCAGCTAAGCGGTCTTACCCAGTTGGACAAATGCCTTATCAATCATGCACAGCTTCCTGTAACGTCTGCGAAACAGAAACCGTAGTTCAAGAGTCCATCCCATCAGACACTTGATCTAAGATGTTCTGTTCTGGGTTCGAATTCCGTTCAGAATATAAACATACGTCTCTGATTTTGTATGTGTTTTATATGGGTGTGAAACTTGGTCCCTGACATTAAGGGAGGAACATAGACTGAAGGTGTTTGAGAACAGGGTGTTGAGAATATTTGGACCGAAGAGAGGTGAAATGACAGAGGTTGGAGAAAACCGCATAATGAGGAGCTTCATAACTTGTACTCTTCTTCAAGTGTAATTAGAATGATCA